AGTTATCAGAATAGTATGAAACAGAATTGACAACAGATTTGTAACTTTATTGACTCTTATGTACGAAATAAAGAAAAGTATCTTTGACATTTATATAGATAAAATGACATAAAGTAAGAGTGTTACACATCTGGAATCTATAAAACTAATGATCGAATCATTTGCTGCCCTAAATCAATATAGGGTAATGTTGAATGGATCGCAAAACACCCAGGCTGATAATTTATTTCTTAATTATTCATAATTAGAATTAGTCGACACGAATGAATTACCAGAGTCTAGTTTAAAAAAAAGAGCAGTTGAATTTTTGAACTTTTGAATGTTTCAGAAAACCCTAGAAAAAGAGAAAGAACAACTTTGAACAGTACAATTGTTAAACATCTCTTGAATACAGGACATCAGGTCGATACCTTTCAACATTTCAAGATGATTGATAAGCAGCCAAGTTCCAGTTCTCTGAAGTTTACTGAAGTCATTTCTATCAGGCATCAAAAAACTCATATATTTGTTCAAAAGGGAATGGTTGTCAATCTTTCTTTGCCTTGGTGACAAATATCGCTTAATTGCATCTTAAGAAATTGTTTTCAACTCTTGATTTCACTAAATCACACCATTATGTCTTTTTATTACAACTTTCTTGTAGATTAATAATCTTATTTTGTTAACTGAGTTTTACACATTCTTATTATCAGCGTTTACATAACCACTTGTTTCTAATCCTTTAGACTCTTGCTATAATTAACATTGTAGAATGTTCTTTTACATAAAGTGTATATATTTACAATATTTTATTCAGTCTATTAGATTTATTTACACCGTTGTCTACACAATACTGATGTGTTTTCAAAGTAACTTCCAACTAAACTTTTTCATGTAAGTAGTTTAAGCTTATTTCGTAAGTATGAATTTGAAATATCACAGGTTGTAAGCAGCTGACAAGAGTCCAGAGAAATATAATGAATTCATGTTTTTCTGTCCATATCATTAATTTTGCTTCTTCTGAAAATCTAACTTGTTTGCCTGTCCATAGTTAAGAATATGAACAATGGTATTCACTGAATCATAACAAATGTATATCGTAGGTATCAATACCAAAGTTAGACTTGATAGTTTTAAATAAATTGAGCATGAGATAGAAAGTTAATCATAAATATAAATTTGTTATATCACGATGAGTAGAAAAATTGTATTTCTGATGTTTAGTGACTTAATGTAAGCCACTTCTTCAGTTATTACATAATGCTGTATGTATTGCAACCAGTTATGAATTACCATCATACTGTGAATATTTCAAAATGATCTATTATGAGAGAAAATGTTTATATATTACAGCAACATCGTTTTATTTGAACAAAGTCTTAGGTGAACAATATTATCATCTATAACCGATAAGAAACATTGAATTAAGAAGACGGATTTTTAGTTAAGATTATGACACTATGGCTTTAGATAAGAAAAAGTGTAAACACAGTTTTGTGATAACATTAAATCTCTTTTGACAATATCGATTTTAATCTTACTAATCGGAGTAGTGAAATTTACATTGTTTGTTATTATTTTTATATTCAAATTAGCTTGGTTTGATCCACTTATTTCTTATATGGATATCTTAACACAATAATCCCTGATCAGATTCAAATAAACTTATCAGAATAAAATGTATAACATAGTTTGGATAACCATAGTTCTGTCATTAAAGACTAGCTAAATTTATCAGAGGGATTAATGATATAATTTTTTTAAACCACCACCTTTAAATACTGTAAATACATTGGAAACACCATTACGCTAGTTTCACTAAAACATTTTATAAAATGATGAACCGATCTACGTTAGAAAACCGTTGAACACATGGAAGCACTGTACGGTCGTCTCATCCTAGTATGGGGCTCCACAGCAGTGTTCACCCATGGTCCTGAACGCGAGCGTCGTATCCGGGATCTTCAGTTTCGCTCTCAAACTCTTAACCTTACTATTGCTCGCTATTATCAATAAGATTCTTCTTGTTTGTGAATCGATTTTACTTTACCTATTACTGAAACTCAGATTCAAAATACTGGTCATAGAAGGTTTGCAGGGCGGTTAGATCATTAAATCACTAGTATAATTTACATGACCATCAATCTATTGATCCAAGGCTACTAAGTTATATGCTTCAATGAAATATCGTCTAACTACTGATTTTTATTTCTTCTAATTAGATAAATTGTAAATGTAAACAGAATTAATGCATCAGGATTCCAGTAAACTGTCTACATCTAAATTGTACTACTTGCTCCTTGGAAAATATTATTAATGAGTATCCTTGAAAATAATCACAGTCTGTACAAATAAAATAACCTATAATCTATAATGATTATTGTTCCGTCTACACTATTGGATTACTGATGGAAGTATTGATCTGCCAGTCACTAGAATAAAGGTTCGGACTTTGCTGCTTGTGACATCAGTTGGTTATTAGTTCAGCGTTCATCTTCAAACATGATAGAAAGTAATGGCTTAAATGTTGGTCAAGCGAATATGTACTTGGTTTATGAGTTTTATCTTATTAAATTCACCGCATTAGGCTCACGAAAGAGGTCAAATAAATAATGTAAATGAATTTAATTGTATAATTTGAAATAGTAAAATAACTCTATGGTTGAAATTTTCACTGATTTACTCGATTACGATATTAGAGGTTTATTAATATAATATTTCGTTCTCAATGTTAGACAGTTGAAATAATACAAAAATGTTCCAGGATATTAATCACTCAACTTATTGGTCTATATGTACTGTGCTCACTGTGTGGGATATAGATCTTGGTTACGCGACGATCAGATGTTACAAATCAGCTTGAAGTAGCTGACCGGAGAGAGTTGGTTCTTAGTAGTTCTCTAGTTGGTACAAGCTAACTTCTTTTTGTATGATCCGTAGAAATCTACCTTAATATTATTTATAAAAGTGGAATCGAACCAATATCGGTTTCTTAGTCTCACAATTACTTTTAAATTAAAAAATTGATTAATTACGTAATTAACATTTCAATGGTTATTTTCTTAGTGGCTTGTTTTAGTTTGATACTGCTTACAAATAAACTGTCAAATAAGACTGATACAAAGAAACTATACATTCTGATCAAATGTTTATATATGACTACCTTAAATACTATAAACAATTTGAAATGACCTAGTGAAATTCGTAAGGTATAAATACAATGAGTTACTTATAATATTTATGAGTAAAATAAAAACAACTTGAAACTGAATATAATACAACTAGTTATTGTGTGAATTACCACTTTCAGAGTATTATAAGGAATACTTTTAATGTCACTTAGTGTTGTTTGCTTGTGTCTTCCCATTAGTATTTAGGACTGCAATTGATCAGTCTCTTGTTGGTATATATGCATCCTGTGTGGATTGCCTAGATATTGCCTTAAGTCACAAGCTTCATAAGCAAAGATAGATGGTAGCTAGCAGTGGAAATATTAAAAGTATGAAGATACAAGTAAACAACATTCAGTGAATTTAAACTTCACCCCATTGCACAAGCAGGTGGCTATCAGGACTCAGTAGCTATGTGGATATCGTGATGGCGTTTGAAGTGAACGATGATGGATTTGAGTTACAGAGTGAGCATCGACTGTGGGATGAATGTACATCCAGCTGACGAGTCACAAATAGGATGAAACGTGCGTCCTGAATTCCACTACTTGCCACCGTCCATCTTTGCTTACAATACTTTTAATGGTTTTAGAATAGATAAGACTTGTCAAAAGCGGTGAATTTAAATATTTACCAAACTGACCATTTTTAAGATTAGAAAACTTGCTATGTGTTTTATTCAAAAAATCTTCGTTTGTTTCCAAGATTTCGAATTATATTACGGATTACTCTTAGTTGTATGAGTCTTGAAATTAAGGAAGCTATCAATTCTATATTTATCTATTCATAAGATGGATTATTATGTTTGAAATAGTAATTTGTATCGTGACTAGCAGTAAAATCAAGAAATCTGGTTTCATCCAATGCGAGATTCATTAGTTAGATTCCAGTTTTAACATTCACACTAAAGATTCGAATGCAGTACCTATCCTTTCAAATATAAACTTGTTATCCCCCAAGCTACTTTGTCAAAATAACCACTGACTTGTTCAATTGGTTTGGTGTTTCTTTATAAAATTTTATACTGTTGACAACAGAATATAGATACATACATATGATATGTCCCAAATACGGTATAACATACCTTATAAATTCTGTTTCTAGCTGCAGTCTAAATTTATTTAATAACTGTCATAAAAACTACTGTTTAATGATTTAGTTTGAAACGCATATCTACCAATAAAGACTTGCCCAAGTTTTGTTATGATTTGTGATTGCGTTTATTCACATGTACATTTTCATGATAATGCTTTTGGCAAAAGTTTGAATAATTGATTGATTTTAACTCAGCTTTTGTGGTGTTGTACAAATGTGTAAAAGGACGTATACTAAAGTTTATTAAAGCCATACGAAAATTCAACCCCCCTTTGAGTATTCAAAAACAGTTTGTTCTCACCTTAAACCTACCCTGGTAATATTAATTTATTATCCAGAGTGATGAGATTTCAAATTGTGTTCACATTATTATTATTATTATTATTATTATTATTATTATTATTACTCTTATCATTATCCTTGTCTCCTCTTACCCCATTTCCATTCTAGTTGATCTTTTATTTTTATATATAAATGTTCTTAAAAAGTATATGTGTGATTAGATTGTTGGAAATGTAATGCGCTACTATATCACATAGATTTGATAATCTTCGTCTTCTTATTACACTATCGAAATTCAGATTTCAATTCTAAGTGAAACATAATTTCTATATTACTATTAATGAGTGATAGGGTTATGAAATTCAGATTAGATTTTTTCTGCTGAACATACTTTATCAAATCAAGTTTTTAAAGAAAATTAATTATCATATTGAATGTACACTTTTTAAAAAATGACATTAATAGCATACTTACTGTTATTTGTTATATTTTGACGTGGCTGTTGTCGTTTTATCTGTAACCATTTATACGGTTGTATAGACTTCATACCTGTAGTTGTTATTGTCGTCGTCGTCGTCGCTATTACTGTTGTCATTGTTGTTGACATAGTTGTTGTTTTTGAAAGTGTAACTCCAGACATTGATGATATGTTATTATCTAATTTATTCATCTTTTTACTATTGCAAATATCTTGTGTATTAAGTAATAAATGACTATTGATTTCTTTCTCAATATATGTATCACAATTTTGATTATGAGAATTGTAATAATTTAAGTTACCTATCGTTTCTCTTGATGTTAAAGTACAAGATGATGAAGCTGACGATAACTGATGATTATTTTGTTGTTGTTGTTGTTCTAGTTCTTCATGAATATCTGTCCAAAATGGACCATCTTTAGTATAATCAAAACATAATTTCTCCATTTTTATTTTATCATCTATTTTTGATATATCTATCATACTTTTTCCAAATGACTTTGCTGATAATGTATTTATTTCTGATGGAAATATTGTTTTTGAATTTAAATCATTTGTTGATGTTATCAATGAAGGTGAATATGTTTTATAATAATAAGATTGTTCCTTTTTTACAATATTCATTTCATTAAAATGATAATCTATCGATTGATTATTTAGATGATTTTTATTGATTACATAATCATTTTCTTGTATTAATCTATTATTATTATTATTATCATAGTGATTAGTGTGATTAGTTAATTCCATTGTGGAGGATAAATGATACTTTTTATTTATAATATCGAATGGATTCCGTTTTTTAATAGATGAATCTGTTATTTCTTGTGTATTATTCAAACAATAAATAGAATTTTGTTGTTCATTTAATTCATTTGAAGATGAACATTTAATAGGGAATGAATATGTAATTATTGAATTAGTTAAAGGAGATTTTAATAATTCAGAACATAATGATGAAGATGATGATGATGAGGAGGATGACGACGATGATGACTGGTGATGATATGTATTATTATTATCACTATTATTATTGGCAGTAGTAGTATTAGTATTATTAGTATTATTATGTTCCTGTTTAGTAAAACAATTATACTGTTGATATTCAAATAGGCAATTATTTAATTGTTCAAATGAATTATCTATAGGATTTAATAAAGTTTTTCTTTGTTCACAATTTTTATTAAACTGAAAAGAGAAATTGGATAAAGATTTATCATTATTTTGTATATTTGTTATATTTAATTTATTATATTCTACATTATAAATATTTGTATTAACAGTATTATTATTACTTAATGAAAATTCATTAAATAAATTATTATTATTATTTGAGAAAATTATTAATTCTCCATTAGTTGAAGTATCAGACCAACAGGTGGACATCGATGATGATGATGATGATGTTGGTGTAGAATCATTGATTTTAGTGTTAGTTATAATCGATGATGTACTTGCTGTAGTGGTTACAGTATCAATAGCTTCAGAAGAAGAAGAAGAAGATGATGATGATGACAATGATATGGGTGTGGATGATAACGATAAAGATGTTGGTATTAAATGATTATTACTAATAGTAGCTGGTAATAATACATTATAATCAGTTCCATATTCTATAGAAATAGATTCATTATTAGTATTATTACTATGACATGGATGCAATAACAATGATGTATCATCAAGGGAACGTATTGATGAATCACTACCACTATGTAGATTATATTGTAATCCATTCATATCATAGTCATTTGTATTCGTTTGTGTATAATATGAATCAATGTAAACATGAAATGGTAAACATACACCAGTTGAAGATACTAATGATGATGGATTGTTAGATGATGATAATAATAATGATGATGATGAATTATTCAATGAATATTCATAAAATGGATAATACCAATGTGAATTATTACTTCCATAAAAGTTTGTATAGTTTTCATTATCCAAGTTAGATATTGGATAATCAGCTGTCAAATTCATAATGTTAATTTTACTTCTTAAAAAAAGAAACAGGAACCACTTTTGCTTTGTTTTACTTCAAAGTGAATTTGTTTACATAGAGATTGCCGTCAAATAAATAACCATTTTTATAGTCTCAAGTATGTTATAAAATAGTCTAATAGACTAATTGATATTTGTACACTTTTCATATTACCTTATTATTTTGCTTATCTTAACGTGATGCGGTTGAAACTTCTCTCACCCTAGAAAGGACGACTATATTACGAAATATTTTTTCCTAATAGAAAAATTGTCTAAAACAAGCAACAATAGAATTCGATTAGTTAACGGGCTATTAAATATGTCTATTGGTAATAAATGAATAAAGGGAGAGAATGGGAATTTTATCAGGTTAAATCTGATTGGTTACTATTATAATAATTTCTCTTTAATACCAAAGGGATAAGAAATTTATAGGCCCAGAGATAGAAAGAATGAATTGTCGAAAATATTGGAATTTTCATTATTCATATACAAGTAGTTGGGTACAAAAATTTACTTTCATAGTTAACACGAGCTGGCTTGTCGGTATACTAATTAGACACGAAATAATATTAAAATGTCATAAGTTAAAACAATGACAGACTTGGTGTAGGAATATGTCTATAAATGGATTCTAACGTTTTTTGATGCTTATTTAGACGTTGTTTTTGAAAAAAAGTTAATATGAATTTTACAAATTATATTCATAGAGTTTTGTGGAACAATAAACCAAACTAATCTCAGAACCTATGGATCAACTTAGCTTCAAGGTAGTTAATAAGCTCTACTTTATTATAAACTCCAAGTTTTTTTGCTTGCAACTATCTACTAATAGGTAACATCATTGTCAAAGCTAAAGGATATTTTATAAAACCGTTTACATCAATGTGGGAAGATTCAAACAACCAATACAAAACTTAATTAGACATCACCCCATTACTTAAGCTAGTGGCTAGTTGGACTCGGTAACTAAGTGGATAAAGTGATGGCGTTTGAAATGAACGACAATGGGTTCGAGTCTTGGAGTAGACACAAACTCTAGAATGCAGATACATCCAGCTGACGAGTCCCAAATAGGATGAAACGTGCGTTCTGAATTCCAGTGCTAGCCACTATCCATCTCTGCTTACAATGCTCATAACTTAAGGCAATATAGGATGCACTTATGCTAATAAGATACCGATCAATTGAAGTCCTAAACATCAATGGGAAGATTTAAACAACTAATAAAAAGTGTATGTAGTTATGTTTGTGAATTTACAACCTATCATTTTGTTTTTAAAAACGTAAATTCGAATTTTAGAGTTTAATTCCTCATAAATCTATTAAATTCATAATATCAGCAGGGGTTTTGTGGATATTATAGTAATTTTAATAGTTGAGACCATGAGTCAATTGACCACCATAGAAAAACTAGAAGCACAGGACGGCCGTTTCGTCCTATTGTGGGACTCCTCAGAAGTTTTGTTAAACTATTTGACTATCATATGTCAATGTTTTCAGTTCAGACTCAATCGAATAATTTCTAAATGAAATTTTATTTAGGTTGGTTTATGTGGTTGGGATGAGAGGTAGTTTGTGGAATTAATGATTGTGAAAATGTATTTAAGAGTCGGTTAAATCCATTGAACATTCAAAATACATTGAATTACATCTTATATGTAAGCAAGCTTTTTTAAAACTGAGTACAGTTTACATAAATTTCGGAAATCCCTGTCTAATTAAAATTAAAGTTTATGTTCTTACGTAAAACACGAATAATGTAAGCTTAAGGAATATATTTGTAGTTGATCTATGCAGATATAAGCTGATTAAATATATTACTCAAAATATTTTGATATACAGTTAACAATGGGACATAAAGACAAACTAGTTTTTTAAGTAATACAGTTATTCATCATTTATTTTAATGGCTACTCAATGAAAAGAAAAGCCTCCATGTTAGATGGTTAAAGAAGATGCCTTAGAATATCTATCACAGGAAGATGGTTTAAGCTGAGACTTAAAGTTCATCACTTAAAACTAAATAAATTAAAATTGTGTAGAAAATCACTGATCATTCATTTTGTCTCAGGTACATAATTGTTGCATATGTTCTTCTAATTGAAGATTATTGACTGTGTCTAGTAAAGTGAGTAACCCAATACTAAAATAAAGTAATACATTAAGATTAGGAAATAAAAATGACTAAAATAAGTATCGAAAGTCTTGGTTTATTACCGACATTCTTCAGTCATAAAATTTTTTTATTCCAACATCAGTATAGGGGTTGTGGAGATTATTAAGCTTTTAATTGAGATCATGAACCGATTGATGTTAGGCCATTATTGAAAACCTGGAAGTAGTGGACGGCCGTTTCGTCCTATTGTGAGACTCTTCAGCAGTGTGCATCCACAGTTAAATTCAAACTAGACCGCCGTGGGAAACCTGAAAACACTGTACAGTTGTTTCGTCATAATATAGGACTCCTCATTAGTGCGTACCTACGACCCCTCACCAAAGGTACTCGAACTCAGAACATTCGGCCTCGTGAGCTAACGCTTAAACTCTAGTGCACTAAGTCGGCATGCAACGTTGTTAATGTTTAACTTCAATCGATTCGTTATCTTGCGCAACCCTTCATTCATAGCTTGAGATGAATGATTGTCTAACATGAGACATGGATTAGACTTCAAAGGTCACGGCTTCCCCAGTGTTTCCAGGTTTTCAGTGATGGTCTAGCTTAAAACAACTGATGAATTCAACTGTTAAAGTACTACAATCCTCAAAAATCCCTCTACTGAAATTTTTTTATCTATTTTGTCTGCTTAAATTAAAAAATTTTTTTTGTATGAATAAGTTATTTATTGTTGAAATAAGTGAACATGTATCAATTAAATACGATGTAGATAGATTCAGTTGAATGCTTTCGAATTTCTGCTCAAAATTCCTTAATAATAAATTTCATCTTCACATTGCATTATCCACATTTACATATTCACTGAAAATATATGTAGTTTGAACCAAGAAATATTAAATACAATTCTTTATTGTCAAATGTCCCACATATATTACTCACTATTTCATTTTCAGTAGTTCTAAAATAGTTTTTTAAAATGATTTGATATGACATTCAAAACATCCTTTATTATCAAAAATGTATTTGGAAAAAACTATGGACATTAGGGATAATCTTTTAGTCAATTGTTTTTCAGTAGCTGAGATCACGAGTCAATTTAAACTAAACCACCATGGAAAACCTGGAAGCATTGAACGGCTGTTTCGTCCTATTGTGGGACTCCTCAGCAGTGCTCATTCACGATCCCGCCTTTCGAGATTCGAACGCAGGACCTATGTGTCCCATTTTAAAATTATGTAACTACTGAAATAAATATTTTTTATTTCAGAATAATTTAATAAAATTTTATGTTCATACCATTTTGTGAAAAGTATACAATATATCAAAATCATAAATACCAAAGAATACATGAAGAAACATCATAGCCGTTGTCATATTTTCCATTTCGTTTATTCTCTGAATAAGCTAGGGTTAGGAAATGTTAAAAATCATATAGAAAATACATTGTCCAATGTGGAAATGATCCACCGTTTACACTGCCGAGGATGAATGATTAGTAAATAATGTTGGAATATATTTTAATGTATGTTTTAATGGCTACAGATGACATGTATGTTAATATGAAATTTACGGTAATACCGAATATTTTTATGCTAAGAAACTACTTACTGTAATCATACATATATTTCATTTTGTATTGTTTGATTGAACCTTTCCATTGATGTTTAGGACTGTAATTGATCAGTCTTTTATTGGCATATGTGCATCCTATGTGGACTGCCCCGATATTAGCTTAATTCAGTGAAACGAATCAAATAACTAATACAAAATGAACGAAATTTAATCTTATTGAACAAGCTAGTGACTATCTGAATTCAATAAGTAAGTGAATAGCGCGATGACGTTTGAAGTGAACAGTAATGGGTTTGAATCCCGAAGTAAACATTAAATCTGAAATGAAATACATCCATCTGACAAATCCCAAATAAGACGAAGAACACATCCTGGAATTCACTGCTACCCACCATTCATCTTTGTTTACATACATTTAGTGTTGAATAAAACAATTATTATTTCAATACTTCGTTTTCATAATTGTTTTACTGGTTATTAGAAGTGAAATGGACAACATGTGATCAGTTACTTCCAAAAAACTGTTCTAATTATTTATTTTCTAGGTTAAATAAATACTTTACTTACAATCTACGATATATGGATTTATGGGTTCATGAACTGGAAACTATGTGACAAAACTATTAACAATAGGAAAGGCATTTTAGAATCTTTACCTAACTTTAACAATTGTAAGCTTGTTGATGATCATCCATTTGAATTAATAATATGAGAATTAAGTTTCACACCCATTTTTTATTTACCACACTCAGGTCAACGCAATGAGTAGATATGTCAATGTTTTGTTAACGATTACTATAGCTATACAATGAATCATTTCAAGATCACAAAATGAAAATCATCTCTTTTTGTTAGAATAAGTTCCTGATTTAACTTTCTGGTAAAATTATTAAGTACAATTTTAAAGAAAATGAGTTATTAGTGTGAACTATCACAATTGATTGCGTGTCTAGTCGTTATTATTGCAGATCGAATGTTATCGACCATATTGCAATGTGGCCATCAGCCTAGGTGACTCGATACTGCGTGCACTATTGTGAGATGAGATGGTGGTTGGAGGTAGTCGACAGGAAACCCTGGACCCAGGTTTCGTGCTACTTGGCACTCGTCAACAAGATGTACCTGTAATCTTGAGGGAACTGGTGCTCCCTGTGAACGATAAATAACCTCTATAGCAATTTTTACCAAACATTATCAAATGTGATGAAAAAAAAAGACCAAACATTTAAATACTACACAAAATGTCTACTTACGTTTATAGTATCAGGCTTTAAACTGTACATGTAATTTGTGAATTCTATTTTTT